CGGGCGGTTACTACATTTGTACATTATACAAGATTGTTTTTTAATTGCTCTGTTCATTGTCCCATGTTCTTTGTAACCACCACAAGGCCAGTTTACCCAACTCAAACCCATTTAGGGTAATCAAATACATCTAATTCATCTACCAAAGCAACCGTATCAATAGGTATATCTCTCATGATGGCGGGTTACAACAATTTGGATACCCCACCATATGCAAGGAGCCCGGTCGACATGTTGAGGGGAGCAACTTGCTCCGAGCAAGGAGCCCCGAGGGCCCCGGCAACTAGTTAGATGGACTGGCTGGTATAGAGATGATAGGAAGGACATTCAATCCGAATAGCTAGGGGATGTTGGATAGCCTACCCAACAAACGAAGGATGGGGTAGGCAACCCACGGGCCTGGGGGGAAGACCCATATGATCTACAGAGTGAGTCAGCCAGAATTGAGGGACTGACTAACAAGGATGCTGATGCAACAAACAAGGGCATCCCTGACGACTTATCTCGCTTAGCTGCAAACACCGGTCAGTAGTATGGGTCACCCCCGAGCCAATATGAGGACAACCGGCTGTGCGGTCACCCAACCAAGAAGGACCAAGGGTGTGAGGTAGATTGCGTCCCACTCTAGACTAACATGCAAAACCAAAGGAGCTTTGAACTATGAGCAAGTGGTGAATTGGTGCCTTCCCAGCAAGAAGTACCAAGGAACTGTATGAGCAAGTGTAAGAGCTCTGAGGATATGGCGGACGATCTGTAAGATAGGTAGGAAGTCCGTAGGATACTGCATCAAAACTGGACAACCATATGGGATAGGAGCCTCGGTGTTAAGAAGCGCCAGAGGAGGTTTCAGACCGACATAACCCTGCGGGTGATGCCAGTTCAGAAAGACGTCAGCAACGGACTAGTGACCAATTCACTGATAGATCAACTGTCAGGAGAGAGCGTTAAGCTGGCAGTGACTAATGCCTTGCCGCCAGCCAGAAACCTGCCATGGACATCGAACTTCCAGAAGTGGGAGCTATTTATAGGAGTTGCGGGATTATTCCTCACAACCGTTCTGCCCAGCTCTTATAGTCCCAGCATCCGGCTGACCCTTAAAACCAGCCAGGCCGCTGCGATGATGACCCCAACTGCTCTCATATGCCAGAGAAGCTTTGCTACCCACTGGGGTCTGCCTTGAACACTGCCGGCAGCCTAGTAGACTGGGCCAAGGTCTACAAGCGAATCCGCTTGCAGGGAGTTGAGACCCAGGGATGAGCTGAGTGGAAGCATCCAACTCTCGTGGAGGAGGTGGCTGCCAAGGACACCAGGATATGCAAGGACACAAATGGTGAGAGATCGATGGAACCGCAAAGCAAGCAGACGAATTGCTCAAAGAACCAGAGGGAGACGGACAAGAGGATTGCCGTAGGAGCGCAGCAAGGATTATTACAACTCCGAATAGATAACAAACTAGGAAGAGGAGTATGATGGGGCGAACTAGGCCAGAAACGCGGCAAGCGATGGGTCCACCATGAACGGGGGACCTGGCGAGTGGGATGACCCTTGGGAGGGCGAACGGCACCCGTGGGTAGGCGTCCAACAGCCCCACGGGGGGGCTGACTAGACCTAGAAGCTGTGACCAGGATGGGTGACCGGCGAGTGATGGGAAAGGACCATTTGCATGAACGTGTGGAATTAGAATCGAACACAACCAATATAGAAAAGGGGGAATAATGGGTATGCTCACGGGGATGTTTTGCTGCTAGGGGGGAAGAGTGTGAGGGGAATACACACAATATACACTGCACATTAGAGCATCTGAAAAGGGAGGGTTGCCGGCCCAGAGATGGGCCCTGTAAAATAGGAAAGATGGGAGGAGGAGAATCCCCGTCATGTACAATAGAATAATGTACATTATAAGGGAGCAAAGGACCGCTAGGAGCTGCCGTGTTGTTGAACACAGCAGAGCGGGTATAACAAGGCCAAAAACGCGAAGTGGCACGACTTAGAGACCGACGGGTCAGGCAGGGCGTTGGGTGACCCTGGGGTGATTCACCATAGGCATGGGAGGCGAACGGGTGAACGGAACTCAAGCAAACATTCAAACTTGAACATGTCTTTGGCAACGCCCCCTTGGGCTGCTGCATTACTGCCTTACGGGCAGCTATAAATATAGCTGCCCATCTCTCATTGTTGTAATACGAAGCTCCATACCAAGTTCTGCCCCAACCCCCGATTCCTCTCACCTTTGCACTCACGACCGACTTCCAAGTCGGGACGGACGGGCCGAGCCCCGGTCGGTCACACAGGGGCTGCGGCCCCTTTATAGTGTTGATGAGGTGAGATATGCAGGGCGGAGCCGCACTGAGGCGGGGCGGAATGGGCTGTGGAGTTGTGCAACGCTAGTGAAGGAGCAAGAAAACTGGAGCGCTCGTAGGGAGGGACCCCAGATGCACGAGTGCTGCTAGGCTAGCAGGGCACGGTGAAGGGAAATGATCCTGCGACCCATGCTGCACAAGAAATCCCACGCACCACTCGTGCAGTGCATTCCTAATGCTACGCCGCCTACCATTTCCTTGTGCTAGACTCTTGCGTTGGCTAGGTGGCGATGGCTATGCAGGGTCATGGTTTGCGGCACCTGGCACGGGGAGTGCTAGCTTCTGGCATGGTGCTGCACCCCTCTTCATGTCACTCGCTAGATGCGGTGTGTCTGCGACCATTATTCCCTTCCAATCATGTTAAGAATCCCGCTCAGTGTGCTCACAACAGTGCCAACAATATTCAGAATGTAATGTGCACGACGGATCGCAACACCCTGGGGGGTCCACTAGTGGCTGGCGACCTTCACAGGCGCAGTGCAAGCGCACACTTGGACAAAGGTGATGGCCAATTGGTGCCCAAACAAGGGAATGTGCACCCGCACGCTGCAAGTGCACGTCCCTACCGACCATAGCAAAGGCACTCGAGCAGCGCAGGGCGCCCGTTGCCACACGCAAGGTGCAATGGCTTTGCTCCGCTTCACGCAGGCACATGCAAGGAATTGTGGCGCCAATCTGTGGGGCGCCAATTTGTGATGTGCAACGGATTGTGGCCTATTGTGGCAGGGAATTGTGGCGTCAATCGCGGCGGGTCTGTGACAATGATTGCGCCCTGTCCCCGCCGATGCGAGTGAGGGATCAACATTAGCGATGAGCGCCCGGACCTCATGGTTCCCGCTGCCTCAGGCGTCACGGCATTCGAAGCATGTGAGGGGTCTACGGCATTCGCCTTTCAACGCCTGCAGACCTTCCAATGTGGCCGGGAGCTTCCCGGCAGGAAGCCCGCCAGCTCATGTTCCGAATTCGATTCCTGTCGCCACGCCTCAGCTGCCGCTCCAATCCAGCAAGGCGCCCTGGTCACGTCCCACATCAGAGCGGCAAGCATCTCTCAGAACCCTGCAAGAATATTGCACGGTGCGAGATGCGCGGTGCGCCATCTTGCAGGAGGCAATTGGGTCTGGTAGCAGTATGCGCCTGCACCGGGGCTAGGGTGGAAAGGCTGCTCAGCCAACACGACCAACAGCCTACCAAGTCACCTGTGACGTCCCTGCGCCCTTCCGCTGTGTCAATCTTCTTTCCCTGGCGCAGGCACCGTTCAGCTGAAAGGCCAGCTCCAAACGACACTCTAATACTAGGGACACATTTGACCCAGTACTTTAGATGCTAGTACTTTGAAGCATTTCTGGTGTTGGATCCAGAACATTAGACACTGATACTCCAAATCCGGTACTTTGGATACACCAGTGCTCTAGATACTCCGGTGCTTCAAATACACTAATTTGTCGGCTCAGGGGCCTTTGCGACGAGGGCGGCATGAAGCGACGGCGCAGTGCACCAAGTGCTGCTGTTGTACTGCGCGTCCCGGGGTGGGGCGGTACCCCACTGGGGTGCCGAATGTTGGCCTCGCGCTGCCTGGCAGGCTCTGGACGGGGCTGCCCGGAAGCGTAGGCAGGCTGCACGGCCACACCTAGTCACGAACACCCACAGAAAGCAGTGCGGAGTGCTCGTACTTCACGACGAGTTACTGACAGGTCTATCGAAACTGGCGGAAAGGGCGTTACGTCTTGTCGCATCGCATTGGGCATTTCTTTGGCTGTGCGGCATCGTTGCACCGTACCTGACAATCTATGACAAAACACGGGACATGCCCCCCGCAGCTGCCAACTTCATCGGCACCGCTGGACACAAAAAGCGCAGCGCGTTGTGTTGAGGCTCTGGATATGGGAGGTCTGGAAGGTCCCGGGCCTCCAGAGATCCTCAGCTCCCTTCCGTCTGCACTGTTCCTGGGAGTTCGTAGAGTGAGCTGGTGGGAGCTGTGTCTCGGGAGAGATACCAGAATCCCCCTTTCATCACAATGTAGTCCTTAATTCATTGATGGGAGGCCAGCCATACTGTCACGGGCAATTGGTCCCTGTGCACAATCGGTCAAACGCCAGAATGGTTTTACAGCTCGTTTGTCGGACTCCATTCAAATGTTCAACAGCATCGGTCAACCCATGAGTCCCCACTGGTTTCACCTCAGCCAGCCCGTGGCCCACTCTACACTGCACACATTGGCCTCCATCGCAAGCACACATTCCTGTCTTTCTGTGGCATCGTCTATCGTAAGCCGAAAGCAAGGTCAGCAGCCCCCAAATTAACATAAATACTAATCCCATGTAGATCCCAGTACAATGCCACTGTCCAGCCTAGTCCGTTTGTGCATGACTGGGTGTCAACTTCGAGAATCAAACACAGCAAACACTGCCAGAAACAAGCATGGCACAGCAACCGTCCCCTCAATCAGGCTGTCTCCCTCCCCAGCATAGTACATCCACCTCCCATGCTGGAACTGCCAGCCAGAGGCACACTGTCCAGCAGCCTCCAGCCTCCCTCTAGCTCACACACCTCAACAGCTCCCAGCCTTCGCCCACAGTCGCTCCACTGCCCACCACGCAACCTCCACTTTCAGATCGCCATCACAACGTCCCCTGAGACCCCTCACTTGTTCTTGCTGGCCGCATCGCTCCCCGGGCTGTCCTCCTCTCCCAGGTCCTTGTCCCGCGGCAGCTCGCAGCTCATGCTGCACAGCTCGTTGGTCGCGTTCAGCAGGCTCAGGCAGTCGCAGTGGCCCGGGTAGGACATCGTCAGGAACCAAGCACTCTGCAATGGGTTGAGCACCCTGTGGAATGTCAGGTACTCCATCTCCGCGAACACCTTCTGCTCATCCCGCAGGTTCGCCTTGAGCTTGTCCAGCACGTAGGACGTCTTGGCCCTGTGGCTAGACCGCTGCAGGAAGCTGGGAAATGCAAAGCACCCCAACTTGTCCCCTCCTGTTTGTGGAGCGTGCCCGCCCTGGTTGGCAGGCAGCAGCAGTGCGATGGCCTCCAGATTCAGGTTCTGCCGCGCCACGAACGTGGCCTCCAGCTTCTTGGCCTGCTCCTCCCTCAGGATCAGCGCCCGCTTCTTCTGGTCCGCGGACATGTTGATCTTGCGCGCCCGCTCCAGCCAGGTTTCTCGGCTGGCGGGCTCCAGCTGCACGCGGTCCACGCCCGCCGTGATCATCTTCCAAATGTCCGGCCCCTCGTGGCGCGTGGCCAGCGTGCAGGCCTTACACACCGCCTCCACGTGCTCCCACACCCGCTTCACCAGATGGCCGTCCAGGTCCCCGTTCGGGTCGGGCAACGAGTCCACATCGATCTTGTTCTCCAGCATGAACGCCTCCAGCTCCTTGTACACGCGGATGTACTCCTGCGCCTGCTCGCTCAAGACCGCCTCGCATGCCACTGCCTCCCCACCGCCTCCGCACCCCCCCTGGGCCGCCACCTGGGCCCTCAGCCGCTGCAGCTCGGCGTCCTTCTCAAGCAGCGACCTCTCCATCTGCAGCATCCGCTCCTCGAGTGCCGCCTTCTCCGCCTTCTCCGCCTTAAGCTCGTCCACCCGCGTGCTCAGCTCCTCCACCTCCTGCTCCAGCTCGGCAGCCTTGGCCTTCTTCCGCTCCCGGTACCGTTGCTGCGCCTGCTTGTTCAGCATCTGCTGGCGGGGCGTCCTGTGCCTCGCGCGCCTCCCCTTCGCGTCCTGCGCCTCCTCCATCGCTTCCGAGCCTCCTTGTGCCTGCTCCGCGAGCAGCGGCCCGCCCAGGCTAACCCCGCCCATGGGACTCTGATTCTGATTTTGAATTCCCCCGATTTCAATGCCCCCTGCGCCCATCCCGGCTGATCCGTACCCGGGCATGAACCCCTGCCCGCCGCCCGCGCCGCCGATCGCGAATCCTCCCGGCGCACCAGCCCCTCCCGCCGCCGCAAACCCGCCTCCCATCTCCGGCTCCACGTCCATGTACCCCGCCGGCCGGTACCCCCCAATCCCGACGTTCCCATACCCGACCCCCGGGGTTTCAAACCTCTCGGGCGGGCCGACGGGTGCCATGCCGCCGCCGTAGGGCCCCACGGCCGGTTGCAGGCCGCTGTCTATGCCCGATGTAGGCGGGCTGGCATTGAAGGCCTGGTCGTAGGCGCTCATCCCCGTCGCCCCCGACGGCACGGCAAGCCGGCCGGGGATGTTGCTGCTCGAGTCGCTGGACGTGGGCGGCTCCAATTTCCCCGCGCCGGGCGCCAGCTTGTGCTCGGGGGGGCCACGCTGGGATGACAGGGCGGGGCCCGCGGTCTCGAGGTGGGAGACGTACGCATCGAAAAACTGGTCCACTGTGTACAGCTCCTCCAGCTGGAGGCTGGGGTTGCGGTAAATGTCCGCCATCACGTCGCCGTCACCGCGCATGCCTGAACCCTGCCCGCCGCTGCTCTCCCCGCGCGGCGCGCGGCCGCCGCGAGGCAGTACAGGGGAATCCCTCCCCCCTCGCCCTCCCACCCGAGTTCAAAACGTGGGAGGATGCCTGCAGATGCCGCCAACAATCCTCGCGCGTTGGCCGACGCGCCTGTGGCGCCGCTGCGAGGCTTCGGCGGCCTATGGCAGGCGCAGAGGCTTCCGAGAACGGCCTTGGCTGCCCGCAGCCGGGGCCGGTGTGGGCGGATATGCGCAGAATTGCCCCGCCCCCCTTGACGGGCGGCGATTTATTGCGCCTTGGCTGCAGCCACTGCGCCAGTCGCCTCAGTGGGCGTCCGACGTGGGGGCCGTCTTCTCTGTCTCGTTCAGCGCGTCCCCGACCCGTAATGCCCTCATCGGAGGTCTGTCGGGCACCCCTACACGAGAGGTTGCTCGGCAGGAGCCCTCGGTTGGGTGCGACGCACAGCCGCCCTGAAGACTGGCCCGTGACTGTCGTCATGGACAGTGACCTCACGCGAGGGCAGGCCGCGTGGGGAGGCTGAGAGGAAGGCAGGCTCGGAGACTGCGGGCTTCACGCAAAGGCCACTGGTCGGACCTTGTAGTTAAGGGCTGTAGTTGGCCCACGGGTGCTTTTAGTTAAGGGCAGAACGGGGGGGGGGGGAGAAGCGCTGTGGCGTTTGTCGTGTGACGTGCGGAAGTGTGAGGGGGTCCCGTAAGGTTATGTAAGGTGGGGTGAAGATTTGGAGGGGTGGGGTGCATGCTGACGACACGTCATGCAACAATGGATGGGGTGTTTGCTCGAAGCAAAAAACGTTGCGCATATGTTGTGTTGTAAGTGCTGGTGATGATGTGGTGGTCGTTCTTGGAGGCGGGTTTGCGGCTTGCGGGGTGGCAATCAACGGACGGATTGATGGGTGGACGGCAGCAGCGCCAGCCCTGCCCGAAAGAGTATTACTGCCTGCAGCAAAATCGGCGACTGCTTGCACTAAGTCAATTGCACAATGGGTCCTCACTTCGGTTTTAGGGTTCGGGTGAGTCTTGGGGTTAGGATAAGGTTAGGGTAGGTTTAGGTTTAAAGTTTAGTTTAGGTTAGGTTAGGTTAGTCTTGGAGAGATTTGGTGCAGGCAGTCACCGATTTGGTGCAGCCAGTAATTGTATGCCACCGGGCCTCCAGACCCCAGACCTGGGAGTTGACGGACGTTGTGAATTTGTCAAGGACATGCGGGTGCTGCTGTCATGCACTAACCGTTTCTGCTGCCGGACTAAAGCCCCGCCAGTTTGACGTGAAAATCTTCGATGTGGCGCCCCACTCTTCCCCTCGGACCCCTGGGTTCGCTGCAGCCCAACTATCGTACAGGCTTGCGCAACCCATTCGGCAACCCATGACAGGGCTTGCCATCTTGCCATTGGCACTCAGGGCAGTGCCCTCACGAAACAGGCCAGAGACAAGACACACAGCTGGCCCAAGCAACCCTGACTCCAGCAATCCTCCTCGGCATTTGCGAGTCAGAGAACTCATAGTGGCATGTGGCTATGTGGGTTGGCTATGCGGGTTGTACAAGCGAGCAAGCTTGCCCTTAAGTAAAATTCGGCAGCAGTGTAAACAGATGAGCACTAGTCCCTGCTGGGAAATGGACCCAAATCGCTCAGTTGCGATTGCGAGTTTTATCCCAATCTCTTCCAAGGCACCATAGGATACACGAGTTGCAGCAACTCTGAGCAACTTAAACACCTGCAGTTATCATGTGAGATATGGCATTGTTTGCCAGTGAGCGCCACGCGGTGGGACGTGTGGAAGAGTAGGTCCCGTCCACGGCTGGAGTCTGGGCTTCCCCAGCATGAGGACCACCAACCCCAAACAGACCATAAAAGAAATAGCTCCTTCTCAATTGAATAATGGGCCTCGTTCGTTTGCTGGGTTCGTTGCAGGTCCAATCCTTCCATCCCAAACAGTTCCCAAAATAAAAGTGAAGGTGAGGGAAGCCCTTGATTCCACCAGAGGACCAAACTACGGACATCCCGCCCCTGGGCTCGCCGGTGACATCCCAGTGTTGCAACGTAACTCCCAAGTTGAATCCAAGGACACCCACCCATCTACCAAAGAATTCTGTGCTGATGTGTAGCACAACTGGGGACAGGGTCACCACGGCAATAAACACAGCCCAGTGCCCTCCCCTACATGTCCTTAGAGTTTCCCTCGTGCCCCTTCCCCCTCTTCCCATTAACTGCAGTAGCGCATCGTCCCAAACCCTGTCCCCATTCTGTCACACAATCAACTGGCAACAGCAATATCCTTTCCACATCCCATACTGGCACCATCCGGCGTGGCTCCTCACAAACACCCTCCTAGCACCGGCTCCCTATGAGCCACAAAAACTGCTGGCCCATTCTGACCCATACTCCTCCCCAGGTGTTCAGTACGCCAACGTGCCTGCCATCGAGATGGTCAGCCCAATCCCAAGACGGGAGATTTGACAACCAACGTATGCAAGGCACGCATTTTTACATGCTCAATGCATCAAATTCCCTTGGCACATCGACTGAAGTCGACCCATGCATGGCTGACTCCCTCACCTGCCAGCACCGACCCATGGGCAATCAAGAATGTCGTTTTGCGAAGTCCTCCATCAGTTCAACCAAGCTGACAATCCCCTCCACTGGCATCGCATTGTAGATCGACGCCCGCATGCCCCCAACCGACCTGTGCCCCTTCAGTGTGACCAGCCCCCTTTCTGCAGCCTCCTGCATGAACGGGCCCTCCAGCTCAGGGTTGGCTGGGATCGTGAACGGCACGTTCATTGCTGACCTAGCTGAGACCTCCACAGGGTTCTGGAAGAAGCCCTCAGAGGCTTCGATCGCGTCATACAGAACCTTTGCCTTGGCCCTGTTGGCCTCCTGCACAGCTGCCAGGCCCCCCTGGTCCAACAGGTGTTTGAAGACGAGGCCGCACATGTAGATCCCGAAGCAGGGCGGAGTGTTGTAGAGGGAGTTGGAGTCCGCCATGGTTTTGTAGTCCAGCATGGTGGGCGTGCCTTCACGAGCATTGCCCACCAGGTCCTTTCGGACGATGACGATCGTCACACCCGCTATGCCGATGTTCTTCTGAGCTCCAGCATAGATGAGGCCGAATTTGGACACGTCCACCACCTGAAAGAGTGCATCGACGTTGCTGTTCCAATACCAATTGCTTGCATGGACATCGCACTTGCCAAAATGTTTCACAAACAACTACCCTTGTGCCTGCAAGGCTATGATGGCACATTTAGTGCACTTCGCTCGAAGAGAGGAAAGTATTGCCCAGTCACTCGCACGATGATGCACAACAATTCCTGCCATTTCTGCGTACAGCCAAAATACCAGTCAACGAACCTGCACAAAGAAAATTCGCTGCAGCAAGCGAGGCCCTTCTTTTCCAGCTCTCTGTTGTCTGCAAGTCATCTTTGCATGCTTCCCATGTAATAATGTATTCCTCACAGGTACTTGAGTTCAACACATTCCCCAAGAAGGGGTACTATATACATCATCTACCCACACAGTGTGATGCAGGACACTGACACCTTTTTTTGTTTGCTGTGTAACTGTGTTCACCACAAAAACCCTCTTTACCCTTGCCAGCGCTGACAGGAACGCAGCAGACGATATGCTGCTGCCCCAAAAAGAAACCTGGGCAACACCGCATAGTGGCAACAGGGCTTAGTATTCACTGGTGCATTGGCTTGAAGGACTAGCGGATCATTCCTTCTTTGGCACAACAATTTGTTCTTGAAGTTCTGTTGGGGAACAAACAATAACCACAAAAAATAATAAATGCTTCTATCAAACAAAAATGGAGATAGGGAGAACGATGACGCAAATGTACAGTCAGTCCGGGTGACGGGCAGTTCCAAAGATGGGAAACAAAACACACAAGAGAACAAAAGCTAACATCACCCAACTACGTGTGTCCTCCAGTCAAAATGACAAAAGTGCACATTTTGATGGTTTCTTTGCAGGTACTGAAGTGTTCCTGGAGAAAGGTTGATAGTTCCCATTGACACTGAAAGCCAAGCCATGCTCAAGCTCACAATCCTTTCAGGGACTGGATACTGCTATGCACAACTGCCAATAGTCCCCTTGGACAGCCTTGACAACATTGACTCCTTAGCCACCAGACTTGCTGACACAATCTGAGGATGACAGCGCCTTATTGAAGCTTTCGTCCCTACTTGCAGAGAGGGCATCATCTCCTCTTCTCAGAATGCTGAAAAACCCTGCACCAAAATCCCCCTCCCCGACCCTTCTGTCAAGTTTAAGTGGACGCATGAGACAGGCCACTCAACTGGTTCAATCCCACCGCAACGATCCACAGATTCCTCACAGCCTTATCGGGGGGCAAGGCAACAGCTTCGCCCATGCAAAGCGCCCAAAAAACCGCCAGCCATCCCAAAGGCCAGATCCCCCTCCTTGCATGCTCATCACTGGCAGACTCCACATCATCCTTTCACTGTGTGGGAAAGACTCTCACATACAACTCCTCTGAGTGCCCTTTGCGTGAGCTGTTCCTCTTTTTCTGTGCAGTCTTTGCCGCAAGTCCCTAACCTTGGAGGCCCTTTGCGTGAACTGTCCCTTTTTTCTCGTTGCACCCTTTGCCACAAATCTTCAGCCCTGGTTGCCCTTGTATGAGCTGTTCTTCTCTTTGCACTCTTTGCCACTAATCGTTAACCCTGTGGGCACTTTGCATGACCTGTTCCTCTTCTCTTGCACACTTTGCAACAAATCTTAACCCCACCCTCCCCGCCCCAAGCACACACTTGCTTAGGAGGGGGTGCCCTGCTGTCTCTTCGTAACAAATTCCACACCCCCTACCCCCGCACCCCACCTTGCATTCGGATTCAACTTCCAAGAGCCAGGCTCCGGGACCGACTTGCCATCCCCCGCGGCCGCCACGTTCACCTCGCAGAACCGCGCCGCCTCCTTCGTCGCCTTCTTGCTCCACGACCCCGTGTTGATGTAATCCACGGGCTCCCCCGCCCCTGCCAGGTTCATCGGCACCGCCGCAAACTGCGTCGACGCGCCCCCCGACACAAACAGCACGTTGTAGCCGTCGGCGACACCCATCAGCGATCTCAAATCTTGCTCCGCCTCCGCTGCGATCGACATGAAGTCCTTGCCCCGGTGCGACATCTCCATCACGCTCATCCCGCTGCCGCGCCAGTCCAGCATCTCCGCCTGGGCGGTTTGAAGCACTGGAAGCGGCAGGCATGCCGGCCCCGCTGAAAAATTGAAGACCCGGCCCGAGGCCGTGGGCGTGGGGGGCGGCGCGGAGGCCGCCACGGCGCGGATGGCATGGGTGCCCGACCGGCGGCAGGAGGGATTGCGGCGCCGATCGATCCTAGGGAGGATGAGGGGCAAGGATTTAGCGCCGCGGGCGAGGGCCGTGGGGGGACGGTCCGCCAGGGGGGGTGCTTCCGGCGCCATGGTTGGGGAAGTGGAGGGGGGGGGGAGGAGTGTGCGTGTGGTGGCGGTGTGGAAGGAAAATGGGGCAATGTAGGAGGGCGTTTCCGATAAGGACCATGTAGGGGAAGCCCCTATATGCACTAAAAACACTAAAAACACTAAAAACGCTTATGCACAACCGCACAAGCCTGACGCCCAACCGCCCGAGCCTTACGTCCAATCCCGCAATCGAGACCCGCCTCCGTCACCGTGCCCGTACTGTGTGCGTGTTCCACGTCGCGAACATCGTGCAATGTACTGGCGGTTGTGGCTGGTGCGTTTTCGGTCCAGATTGGCGTGCTTTTGTGGGAACTTGTTACCCAGGGACGTGGCCAGTGGGGGCGGCGGTTCGGCCAGGGACGCACGACGGAAAGCGCCGGCGGATGGTCTGATTGGATGGACAAAACTGGCAGGGCATTGTCTCCAACAACATCAATAGCGCTGCTCGAATCATGCGTCCATCAGCGCTCAAAGGCGGCAGCTCAACACAGATTGCAAAAAGAGCTTGTGACACGGCTGTCTGGGACAAGGTAATAACAATTGCTCGTGCATGCCATACCTTCAATCTGTTGTTGTGGCCAGCCGTCGGGTCTCACCGATGACCAGTGGCAAAAGGAAACGTTGTGGGAACAGGGCGCACTTTTGTTATGTTTTGGAATAAAACTGCACTTGTGGACGACAGCACCTGCAATCCCCATTCCTGTGCAAGGTGGTGCCCTGTAACGTAGCAGCTAAAGCCCGCATTTCCTGACTGCGCAAACAAGGCTGGTTTTCCTGTTTCGGGGAAACTGGGGCTGAAATAGTTCCTTACGTTAGACCCACACTTCTGCAGGATACACGATGGCGAAGGAAAGAACTACACCGCCATACAATTGCACCGTAGCCAAGGTAATCAAAGTTGCAGTGGGAGGCGGCCTTTCTCGACATCATCTAAGAGGTGGCAGGGTGGCGCTTTGTCAGTGTTGTCAAAATGAATGCATGGCTGGCCGTTTTTGAGAACAGAAGCAGATTCTCAAAAGATGTAATCGCACACGCCAGCGCAGTGCAATCAAACACAGCGCAAATCCTTCAGTCCTTCCGCTATCAGGGCATAAAATTACTGGCTGCACCAATCGGTGACTGCTTGCACCAAGTCACGCGCACATCATATCCAACTCTGTCCAAACTAACCTAACCTAAGCCCTAAAACCTAAACCTAAGCCTGTTCTAACCCTAACCCTAACCCTAAAACTCACCCTGTAACTAAACCTAACCCTAAAATTGAGGTTAGGACAAAGTGTGCACGTGACTTGGTGCAAGCAGTCACCGATTTGGTGCAGGCAGTAATATTATTTGCGCTATCAGTCCCCAAGCGTTGTCGATCTCGAGCAGCTTCTGCACAAGCATCAGTGGGTAGAACACTGAGTGGTTCTTGGGCAGAAACAAGTGGAACAAAATCTGCCTGTAAACCTTCCGGTTGAATGCCCCATGAATATCAAACCACAATGCATATTGGATCCCGGCAATACCTTCGTCGAATCCACGGCGTTAGCGGCCAGCTTCACCCATCACGCCCAGGTGCCTAAACCGACAGAAAAATTGGGCCCCCTTCGTAATCAACGGGAAGAAGTCAAAAACCAATGTCGTCAAGGGCAGTATACCGCCGGCACACTCCAAGCCCCTGGGCGTTGCGAATAATTTCAAATTGTCTGGCAAGGTGAGCGAAGAGCAATGAGTTCGAATGTGTTGCCTGCGCTGCCAGACACTTGAAGGGACCGGTGTGCATTATTTGCTTCACTTGATGCACTGACAAGTTGAAGGCGCATCGCATCCGTTGATCACCGCGCTCCCCGCCGAATGCAGGAGATGCCATCTCAATCAATCCATCACTCAACATAAATCTGGCACATCCAGCAAGGAAATTCCGCCGGCACTAATTTCCCTTGAGCAAAGCGGCGCCGATGCATTGCCCGATGAACATCCGAGGTGCTGCATCTGCATCTGCCGTCTCTCACTTCAGTGATGCCCTCGCGCAAACAACAAGCTGCTGTGCTCATCGCGATCCTGACTCCGCTGCACGTAGAGTGGATGCACCCGCGCATATGCGTAAGTGCGCCCAATTGTCCTTTCATGTCAAGAAGAGCTGTCAGCAATCCAATATGATCGCCGCAGGGGAATATGTGTGAGCGACGACAGACTGCCAAGTTTTCCGAGGCTGGCGAATTGGAGTTCCATGGACTGGCCAGTCATTCAGGGCCCTAGTCGACGCCAGTATTGCGTCACTGGCGAGACACTAGTTTGAACCTTGTCGCAGTTGGACAGATTCAGAAACGTAAGCGCCGCCAAAGCCTCCAGGTGCTTCGGGTCATTCTCAGTGACTCTGGGGTGTCTGTGGAGGCCCAGACTGGCGATGCCCGAAAGCTGGTCCACGCGTCCATGCCCGGCGCAACCCAGACCAAACTGGCCGAATCCGTCTTTGACTACATTTGGCTTATTGACAGTGCGATGGACTGCACCTACAAGACAATGGCAAGAGCTTTGGGCTTCCGGTATATGTATTCCAGGAATGTACGTGATTGCCTCAAAGGGCCTGCTCGGATTGCAATGCACAATTGTGCACCAGCAATTGGCAAGAACATGAAAACAAGGACGAAATCTAAGGTTCTAAGAAATGGCGAATGTTTTGCTGGTTTTGTGGATAATTGCTCATTTCCACAGTTTCCAGTCATATTTATATTGTGTTAATGTGCTAGAAACAATGTGTTTCCGGTTTGAACTGCGCATAGTAGATCGTTCCCTCTGTGCGGGCCGCCCACAGCAACTGCCGGCCATGAACAAAAGTCCAAATCTGCATACACGCCTTGTTAGCACAAGGTTTACTGCGTCCCAAGTTCCAAGAGCGTTTTGAGGTAGGGACTCGAGACTTTGGTAAAATAACGCATCTGCTATGGTCTTATTTGGCAAGGAGCACAAGTCGACCATGA